GGAAGAAGAGAAATGGTGTTTTGAAGATATATTTTAATTCCTTGTGACGGAATTTGGCACAAGGTGGAGATTTTTTGTGGTATGATTGAAATTCTATGTGATTTGGTATTTGGTTGATTGGAGGAGTCTAAGATATCTGGGTTTGTAGAATTCTAATATAATTGAAGATCAAATTTCAATAATAATTAGGAGTTTGGCTTGAAGGAGGACTCTTGGATGGCTGAAGGCATATTTTGGATTTCTTCTCCATCTTGGACTCAAATAAGAGGTTTTATATATAGTCACATTGTATCTCCATAATACAACATTCATTTATTATTCTTTACATGTTCAACAACATATTGAGAGATTGAGAGTTTAGATTTCAATTGAGATTATTGAAATCTTAATATTGTAAACACAAAACTATTGATTATAGTGGATTGTTCTCCTCTCCCCTGCCCGTGGTTTTTTCCCGAATTGGGTTTCTACGTAAATTCTTGTGTTCTTGTTTTCTTCTTCTTTATTTCATTATCATTATTATCTTGCAATCCATTTTATAACAATTACAATTTTTTCTCTGCTCTTGAAATTCGATCTACCCCTCATATTACCACCAAAATTCATGTCATGTGTCTTCCCAAAAACAATAAGGTCCTCTGTCTGACCCTCAAATCTAACCACAAGCTTCTTTATCTTTTTCCTTAGAGAATAGAACATCATATACTTAATCCATTATAAGAGTGTCACGACTATACAAAATAAAATATTTGGAAGTCACATATGAAGAAGGTAACAAACGTAACAAAATCAACCCTAAATTTTCTCCATCATACTTAACCTCCATGGTCTCCAGATTAGTGACAATTTTCTTAAAGACAGTTAGGTGATCAAATAGACGTGTCTTCGTCATGCGATGAGAATACAATTATCCCTTTAAATGCAGTTTACTGGTTAAACTTTTTGTTATGCATAACTGCTCCAATTTTAACTAAAACGCAATGCGATTTTCTCCTTTAGAACTTCTAGAAAAATTTGATTTGATATATAAAAATGGATTTAAGATAGGACCATTCGATCCTTACGTTGTTCTTCTTCCTACGTCCAAGTTGAAGGCATCTTATAGACCCTAATAGGGCTTCGTCCAAGTTCATCTACATGAGCATGAATTGCATCTTCACCTATCATAACGAAAATATGGTGTTGCAATCCAAAAGTGAAATATCATATTTCATAGTTGCCATCATAGAAAATCAAATCTAGTTTTGATACCAATTTGTTACGAAAAGCAAGATTTAGCAATATGAAAAATAAATTTAAGAACACAAGATTTATGTGAAAATCCAAGACGAAAAAAAAATCACGGATAGAGAAGGAAAATAATTCATTATGTCAAAGATAAGATGATTATAAGATGTAGGTCACTCTAAATATATATAATACAATGAAGCCCTAACATATGTTGGAATTCTAATATAATAGGCCTATCATATAATGGAGTGTTTGAGGTAGTTTAGAATTGGAAAAACTTCCAAAATTGCGACTAGGTTTTCATCGGATGACACCACTGGTAGGCTCGTACACAGTGGGCGGTGGCACGATCGCTCAAGCGCTGGACGCGTGGCTTGCGAGCAGTTAATATACTAAAAAAGATGTTCGAGTTCTCCATGTGACCCCCTGTGAAGTTTTCTTAGGGAGCTTGCGAGTGAGGATAAAGTATGCTGAAAAGACCCATATGGGTACAGTGAGGACAATACGTGTCGATCTAACGGTCGGGACAGCCCATTAAGTGGGACCCGGGTCGTTACACTCCATGCATGGGTAGCGACCGATTTTGTGACTATTTTTTCTCATTGATCCATCTTTGATGTCTTTAACTCGTTCAAGATATACACATTACCAACTCCCGGTAGAATTAGGGTCATACTCTAACATTATCTTCAACATTTTATTAATTAACATATCGCATATCTTATAATGGTTTCTATCAAACAAGTCCGTTTGGAGGCGTAAAATAATTTATTTTTGAATAATATTTTAAAAAATAAAAAATACAAAAGTGCTACGAAATATTTTTTTTCCTTATTTTGAAAAGCGCGGACACAAAAAAAAAGTTCTAACTTTTGATTATGATGGGGGCTTGCAAATCAATTCTGTGAGGGTAAAGGATTTTTGTGTATAATGAAGTGGTTATATAAGTCAATTTACTTGTGACATTTTATCAAATAGAAAAAAAAAAGTTTGAATATGCAGCGTAACGAATAAAAATCATAGTGACAATATAACTAACCATCTTTTCTCATATTCTTGTCAAATTTTAAGTCTTTAAACAAAAGGATAAATGTTACATCCCAAAATGAAGAAAAAAAATCATGTAAGCACCACCTAGAAAGGAAAAGACATGTAGACCTTTGACGTAACACCACATGACAGTCATGCATGTTCCTCACTCTTAATTCCAATAGAAATTGACAGTATTGACCCTTTGAGCTTCGCCTTTGATGGTATTTAGTCATCCCTCATGGTCTTTGCACAATATTGTTACTAGGAATGAACCTCGAACACTAACCAACCCTTCCCTATCGAATGCTTTGAGTGAAGTCCTTAGGGCTTGGGTGGCTGGAGGCTTTTGAATCCGTGATTCCTGAAGGAGATACTTGATATTTTTTAAAAAAGGAAAACTTCTATAAGGAAATCATATTATGAACTCCTACAAACCAACATGAGATCCTTGAGGATCAAGAAAAATATAAGAGAATCAATCTCTATAAAGAAACTCAATTCGACAAGGAAACTAACACATGAAAGGAAGCTTGCCACAACAAATCAGGCCTCTAATGAGCCAATGGAGATGTTACATGTAAGTTCACAAGAATTCTTCCCCTATAAATAACCATGTAAAGGCAAAGGTAAAGCTATTCATTTTTCTAAACTCTAGCCAAATTTTTGTCTGTATATTTCTCTCACACCCAATCCCCATATACTTCTTTCAGCAGTTGACTTAACCGTCGAAGTACCAACTATTGCCGAAATTTTTTTCTAATCTGGTGATCTTGAGGCCTAATGATTTGTCCTAGCGTGTAGGTAACATGCATGAAAGCAGTGACATGACATCGTACCTAAAACCAACACAGGTAGATAGTAAGGAAGAATCGCCAAATCTTAAAGAGCGCGTTTAAATACTCATGGTGAGGAAACATGGTTGTATTGATTTTGAACAGTGTAGTACATGTAGAAAGAAAGTACAAGAAGCAACTCTTAAAGTAAATTCAAGCTCGTGGCAGCAAGGAATTGTATTTCATATCTCTGAAAGGTTAAATTCCACACGAGTAAGTATGAGAACAGTGATTAATAAGTTTGGACCACTCTGTTTTTCAAAAAGTTAACATAAAGACGGAATATCACGATTTCATTAGATTATTAAAGTTCAAAAAATTCAAACAAGCAATTTGACTTAGTTAAAGTTCTAATAAGAACTCAAATTAAGTTTAATCTTCTCAAATAAGGACAAGAATAGAAGATTCAAAATTATTGTTTTCAAATTTCAAATGAGTCATGGGGTTTGCTAAAATCACGACGTAAGTAAATTCTATATTGATGATATATGAACATCTTTTATATAATTTTTATATCATTATAGTATACGTGAAAACTAATGATACAGGCCTTGAATAGAACTGAGTGACGTGTCTTTCAAATTTATTCATATTTGTACCTTCGAAAACTACGTGACTAAGGCATCAGCACTAACTTGTCGATGCCCACAAACCACACAAGTGTCAACATCTTACAAACATCGCCTTGCTGCCATAATCAAGTATTTAAGAAGAACACACCATTGCAAGCAAACAAGAAGTTGAATTAAATCTCCAGCCACGGAAATGTTGTCCCATTATCTGACAACTTTCAAAAATCATCTTGAGATTGAGATGGAGCCCAAAAGGCCAAAAACGAGGCAAAGGGTCCTCTCTTGTCTTAATCTATAAACAGATAATAAGCCAAAGGATAAACATTCCAGTGAAGAATCAGCACAGAATATCATCAGAGTATTGTCACCAATCCATCTATAATTAATCTCACTTGTTATGATATTATATTGACCGATTTTTATTCTCAATAAATTCAAAAATGACTTCATCATTTCATAGTTCATTGCTGCCTTGACCTGCCACAACCTTCCTCTTGTATCTGGATTCGGTTATATTTCCGAGTTTAAATTGTTATGATCTAAATTTCACCATATAGACCTATTAACCACGTGTCTAGATTGCAAACCTTAACTATAGCATTTATCTCATGGGCTATGGCATATTCGGTAAGGTAGATTTCATCGCTCCGTTAGGTCCTACTGTCTAATTCTACGTACCCTTATAAATGTTTTTACCTCTCGGTGACAAAAAATGCCTGCTTTACGAGGATGAAGACATCACCAGAAAAGGACAGAAAGAAAGGGGTTTACCACTTGAAACCCTCATCCAATATAACCTTATACAAGATGCCAAAACACAGTTGGATTCACTGCAATAATTCACATGGAATGGTGGTATTGATTGATGAAGACAGAGAATTAAAGGTATTCTTACCAAAGAGGGCCTCTACTGCTTATTTGAAATCTTTGATCCTATACATTCTTTGTCATTTATAGAGTGGGGCTCATCTGTATTCCCATTTCAAAAGCTTCTTTATATTTATGAGGTAGACAGACGAATAAAGAAGATGGTAGTTCCAAGCACCTTCAATATAAAAACAACTTAATTCTGTTTACTAATAGCATTACTTTTCCTTGAAAATGTCTTTTAGTATTAAGGGCCAAAGATTTATGGGGGCTGCTGACAGCTAATCACTCCTCCTTCTCTGCAATAATGAAGGTATTATATGCACAATCAAATATGACTATTCTTTGAGGGGAAGATTTGTAGATTGGCAATATATAAGTACTCTATTTGAAAAAGTCGTTACTTTTCTTATTAATCTGTGCATTTTTTTTTTCTTTTTTTCGTATTTTTTTAGTTTTAGCAATAATGGACTCCTCTAAAATAGACAAAGACAATGAAGAATGTAGCAGTAACGAGTCCGGGTGGACAACTTATATTGCATCGCCAGAACATCATGGCGATGATGATGAAGATGAAGATGAAGATGAAGATGAAGATGAAGATCGTACTGTTGATAGAAAAGCTGATGCTCATGATTCTGAAGACGGTGAAAGCGATGACTCTATGGCTTCTGATGCCTCCTCCGGCCCGAGTCTTCAAGAATGCTCAAGTGGAAAGTTTGGAGGAAGCCATGCAGCAAACAAAGATCACAGAAAATGGTTTGGCAAGAAACATCACCAACACGAAGAGAAGAAACCACATGAGGAAATTGAAGCAGCAAAAATCAAGCCAGGACAAAAGGCAAACAATGCTGGCAGATCCAAGAAAAAATAACGAGGCATATATATGAAACTTTCAACAAATTATCCTCCAAAAATTCTGCCTAAATCTATTCTAGTCCTCTGAGGTAATTCCACGAATGCTAAAGTTCTAAATAGATTTTGTAGTATTCGATTTCCAATTCAATGCAATATTTAGAAACAGATTCAGCCTAGTTTGCTCTCTTGATTCATCACACAAATCTCTGTCACAGAGTTCAGTTCTATGTTGTGAACATTGAAATTACTCAAGGCACTTAAATTTTCTCTCGTCTGCTAAATTTTTTCAAGGCTGTTATACGATCAAGAGAACCCTTCAATGTTCCAGATGCTACTCAGATTGATGTCGAAAATATGCACTAGAGAAAAAAAGGCTTTGATGCAGTCGAACACTTGTTCCTAAATATAATAGTACTGTTCTCCCTGTTTTTCCAAAACCAGAATATTTCAGAAGTAAATCTGGATAAGGGCACCCAACTATAGATCCGCTTGTGACTATGATTCATCATTTTCAACAAGCACGTCTGATAAGAAGCTGAGACAAATTTAAAGAAGGGAAAAAACAGGAAATGTATAATGGTGAAAGCATTTGAACCCATATATTTTATTTGACTTAATGCTCAGAATACAATGGCTGTAATGAACAATGTTAGCCCACATCAGTAAAGATTATCCTTGCAAGAGGTACTATAACCGAGTAAGTCAAGCTTCCACATCATTCCTTATCAATATCGGCTTCACATTAACAAGTAACTCAAAACAGAATTGTTAAAATGTCAAATCCCCAATACTTCTCGACCATTTAACTCCATCCATGAATCATTCTAATTGGTATATGGTCCTTAATTGGATTGTGTTATACAGTCCAGAACATACATTACAGAGAGACCATCTCACCCTCAAGTCTACTTCTGCATCCTCTAGGGGATTAACAAACTTGCGAGTCATTTCAGCAGTTGATTAACTATATGATTCTGAGAATGGTTAGATAATGGATACTAAATGCAGTCATATACTCCCCAGAATTTATACACCATTCATTTGCTTGTGCAGATATGAGGTGTCAGAATCAGAATGCTGAATATTTTGATGAATATGACATTCAATATGACAAACGGCTCGCCGATGAGGAAAAATATTTAAACAAAATGGCAAAAGGTCAATACGTTATCTTTTTTGTTTGGGTGGGGTTGGGGCTGTGGGGGGGGGGGGGGGG